TTTTCCTGCCTGTAATACAAGCAGGATTATACAATGCACCCAGTAGGAATCATAAAATCCTCTTGCAAATATGTCTCTCTGAATAAACATATCATATCATATAATTTGCGCATCTACAACATAAAACGAACCTACATACAAAATTTCAGCCTCCTTAAATATAGCGGTATGGGGAAACAGTGTTGAAAAGACAATTTTCATATGTAAACACGCCTCTGTTATCCCCAGGGGGGCGTCCCAGTTGGTATATTGAAAAATCCTTTCTTATTGCCCACAACATGAAACCTACAACATAAAACGACCCTACATACAAAATTTCAGCCTCCATGAATATATCGATACGGGGAAACCGTGCTGAAAAGGTAATTTTCATATGTAAACGCGCCTCTGTTATCCGCAGGGGGGGCGCCCCAGTTGGAATATTCAAAAAGTCTTTCTTATTGCACACCTAAAATATAAAACAAACCTACATACAAAATTTAGGCCTCCTTGAATATAGTGGTACGGGGAAACAGTGATGAAAAAAAAGTAATGAAAGAAAAAGTAATTTTCATACGTGAACGCGCCCCTTTCATTTCCAGGGGGCCCCAGTTGTAATTTTCAAAATTCGTTGTTTTAGTGCGCATCTAAGACCTAAGAAGCACTTATATACCAAATTTTAGCTTCCTAGGACTCACCAGTTGGTACGGAGATACAGAGACAAATGATTGTTAAGTGGCTTCCGCATTCATAAATATTGATATTTTTCTAATATACTCGTATAATGCATGGAAGATTCAAAAATTAGTTCATGATATTCAGTTTAAAAAACTATGTTGAAAAACAGAAATGACATTTACGGATTTCCCTTCCCCTAAAATCAAAAACCCTTTAAAATAAATACAATATGGATGACCCATTATTACATTCGTACAGAAATATTACCGCATTCGAATACATTTGAGATTTGTTCAATTTGTCCGTAAAATTTTTTATTTTCACATCACTCAGATGACTAACTCCTTAGCTCATTCATATCAAAAGAAACGGATACAACTTTTTCGTTTTTCTAAAACAAGATAGCGTCTTCCTAAAGTTCCTTCTTTAAAATCGTTCGAAGCAGATATATCAATCGAATATTGAATTTCCCTGTAGAGGATAAAGTGCATCCACTTTCTTGAATACGAATTACATTTACTGCAACTCGACAATCTTTCATATCATGAATTTCTGGTGTCAGCCAGTGTGATGTTGACCTGATAGATGGTCTTGCATTTTTTGGAGTGAAACATATATTATGGAAATAGCTGAAAGATCCCATATAAAAGATCCCTATCAATGCCCTGAGAAAATCTGAAAGAGATTTATCAAGAAGGCAATCCAAAGGGTCAAACAGGCCCAAGTGCTAAGTTCTACAAGATTCCCTCAAAGGAACATCAACTCTCAGTAAATAACTTGAGAGTTTGATTTTCCTCTTGAAGATGATCACTTGGTGATCTTAACACGTGTCGAGGTATCAAAATAAGAGTTTGATGTTGGGAAAAACCTCCAGTAATATTCATTACTACACCATTACTACACCATTACTGTTTGGAACCAAAGGTTGTGATGTACTGTTTGGAACCTTTGGTACATCACAAGTCAATAATTAGTCACAGAAATTTAGTTGATGGTCTATTCACAACAAAGATGTTTTCAACTTGTGAATTGCCAATGGCACATTTGAAGCAAATTAGGTTCGTTTTAGATACAGAGTGGTCCAACGAAAAGTATGCACCTTGCTTTTCTCCTTTTTTTGTAACTTAACGCAAAAATGCTCGGACAGGTCAATTTTGCTTTTGAGGGGGACACATTTTAGATGTATTTTTCTACCTGTGCCTTCAACCCCCTAGCGAGGGTGAGTAACAACCCTAAAATTTTAAATGGAAAGTGGGGTCGAGTGATATATCATTTGAAAGGGCACAAAATTCTCTTTCCAA